AGTTCTAATGACTTGTAGAGAAACAATTTTAGAGCGTTTAACAAAATAATTGCATAACGAGCGATGGGAAAAGCCCAATCGTCCAACTCATAAAAAACTTTGGGACACAAACAACTGGAAACTGTGGTATGACGCTTTTCACAACTGGAAACTGTTGGTAGTTGGTACTTTCGCGCATAGGCGGCGGAACGGGGAGGGCACCGGGGCACCGTGCCCTCCTTTGATTTTGGCATTTTAACAATGGGCTCTATGGGCGTTACATGGAAAGAATGGGACCAAAAGTCGGCAGTGCCCCCCCCCCCTTCCCCAGTTGAGCTGGGCGCAGGTACTAAATAGCATCAAAGGAAATCCTATATTCATCTCGCCGCATTTAAGCGCACCAATCGAAAGACGACAGCGTGACCGCGCTGACAGGCAATCAACCTGGCCACATAAAACTAGCTAGTGCAAGGAAGATGTCTATAAAAACAACTGGACCATGCAAAGCGTTCAGTAAATAAAATACGAGTAAAGATGACGCGTTTGAGGGCAGACTGGCCAAACAGTGACGTTACACGCGGATCTCAACACTGCACAACACATTCATCAAAAAAGATCTCGTGGATCCCTATATACGTCATAACTAGCCCTAGTACGGGGGTATATAGCCATGGACGTAAATGGCCGGCTTAAGGCACAGGATCCCAATTGTCATCCCCATTACGTGGTCCCCAGAAGTCGCCAGGCCGAGAGCTAATGGCAGTTAAGCACATCTTACACGTGCCGACAAACGTGACACAATGAATCCAATAATGAGTCCGCTAATAAGCCTGCCTAATTCTGCATGTAGGCTGCTATTTACCACCACGGCGGAAGGCTAAAACGCATCCATACAGCTCAACATAGGTGTCAATTTCCGCCGGGTTGGGGGTGCTCAATCTCTTTAGATTCCCCGCCGGCTCGGCTGGCTTGGCTTTGGAGCCCCAACAGACGGTGCAGGTCAAGGTCACCGCTAAGGCAGCGGCGGATTTGCTGCGCCCGGGCAGTGGGCACCCTCAATTCGGTGAAAATCGACACCCATGCAGCTCAACATGACAAAACGCTGCATACAAGCGCACGTCCTCGCATTTAATTAACGCATTTAACTGCGTCACTAACCTCGTACACTGTACAACACTGGTGAGATGACTGTCCGAAGGAAACTGCCGACTTTGGCTGGCAACATTCAGGGTTGGTGACTTATGTACTGAGTTCGGCTGGCTGACGGCGATGTGACTTCAGGACCGGTTGATGAACGGGCCATCCTAGCCCCATACTACAGGAGCCCAGCTGGTCTTGGCGAGCGGCGGCGACTGGACGAGGCTGGACCCCTACTACACAGTGTTCCATTTTTGGAAATTTTGGGTGGAAAATCACACCTAATGGGTAAAATATTTTCATCCCCAAAACCAGGTAAATTGGAATTCTTTCATCTTTGAAAAATGCTCAACTCATGCTCAACAATTAACAGTCAGATTACCAGATATACCTAGCAGCGCCATATAGACAGAACTTATAGGTTTGCTACATAATACATAATTTCCATGAAAAAAAGCGAAATCAAGGCACAAACCCAACAACTCACCCTGACTGACAACGAAAGAAAATAACCTTGCACACTTCCAGCTGTTAATAACAAAGATGCGTTGAATGACCTTGATCACCTCAACTGTTTGTAAAAACCAGGCTTGTGTTCTGAATAAATGCTTTTGGATATTCATAACAACTATGATTAGTGGTTTGCTGCCAACGCAAAACGGATGAGCCGCTGCTTGCGCAAATTAAACACTACCTCTGCAATTCGCTTTTGACTAAGTTGCGCAGGATACGCCTACAAAATTTTCATCTTTGGACCCGCAGTCAGCTGGGCACACCCTGGCACACCCTAGGGATGAATTTAAAACTTGGTGGGCTCTAACTTCTTTCATATACAAAATAGGGGTATGGGACAGGTACCAACTTATTCTACATTCATTTCTGATCCTGTTGTATCAATTTCACCACAAATTATGTCCGTCAATGGCTTCTAGAGGACTTTAAAGCTCGATGCGTCGGGCCTGGCAGAGGTCCAAGATGAGAAAAGCCACCCTGCGCACACCCTAGGGATGAATTTAAAACTCCGCGGGCTCTGGCTGGTTTCATAGGTAAAATAATGATTTGAGACCGATGCCAATTTATTCTGCGCATATTTCTGATCCTATCGCATTAATTTCGCCACAAATTATGTCCGTCAATGGCTTCTAGAGGACTTTAAAGCTCGAGGCGTCGCGCCTGGTAGAGGTCCAAGATGAGAAAAGCCACCCTGGGCACACCCTAGGGATGAATTTAAAACTCCGCGGGCTCTGGCTGGTTTCATAGGCAAAAAAATGTTTTGAGACCGATACTAATTTATTCTGCGTTCTTTTCTGATCATATTATATCAATTTCACCACAAATTATTTACGTTATTAGTTTTTAGATGTCTTTAAAACTCGAGGCGTCGGGTCGGGCAGGGGTTCAAGATGACTGACACGCCACCCTGGCACACCCTATAAGGGATGAATATGAAACTCTGTGGACTCTGGCAGGTTTCATACGCGAAATGAGGTTATAAGACCGGTAATGATGTATTTTACGTTAATTTCTCATGCCTTTGCAATAATCTTACCGCCAATCATTCATTTCAATTAGTTTCTGAAGGTTTTTAAACACGAAGCGTTCGGCCGAGGGAAAGCCAAGATGAATGAAAGGATACCTTGGCACACCTCTAGGGATAAATTTAAGATACGGTATTCCCAGATCTGCCCAATACATGTTCTGAAGCTGGTAGATGGGATTAAGAAGGCCCTAGCTTTTTAATAAATTATCCCTCGCCCGTATAGGGGGGGGGGGGGTCGAACGAACCACCCCCTCGTTTTTTTTCGAGAATAACTCGCGTAAAAAGCGGCCGATCGCGACGAAACTTTCAGGACCCTCGAGTCAATTAATTTGACACCTACTCTGAAAATCTCATATTCCTGACCTAAATGACCTTTGGCCTGTGACCTATTTCTTGAGGCCATGTTTGGCCGGAATCGTGATTCGGCGAGCCGCTAATGCGTTCCGTTCACTCCCGTTCCGTTTCGGGTGTTCTGGTCAGTTGTGCTCTCGCTTTCCCTTCCGCTTGGGGTGTCCTGATCAGCGATGCCCTCCGTTCCGTTGCAGTTGCTCTGATCAGTGATCACTGATGCCCTCCGTTCTGTTGCGGGTGCTCTGATCACTGATCACTGATCATTGACGCTCTCACTCAGCACTTATCACGTGACATGATACGAAGCTACCGCTCCGTTTCGGTGGCCGGCCATGAGGTCGGTGGCATCCTTTTATCATTGTTTTTTTTTTTTTTTGCATCCCGTTCCGTTCCGATATGGATGCCCTGGTTACTGGTTAGTCGCACGCTTTTTATTGCGATATTGCGTATTATGCTGCGCAGTGCACTTCGTTCCGTTTGGGGTGCCCTAATCAGTGACCCTTTGTCTAGTCTCATGTAGTGCACCGTTCCTTTCGAAGAGTTGCGCTGACACCGTTTCCATTTTCACTATGCGTAATGAGTACCGACTATCGCTGGCCGTTCCGGCGTTCGGGCCGGGAGATTTCCGGCGTATGTCATGCTGCATAGTGCGACTGCAATTGCATACTCAATACTGCGTCCCGTTCCGTGTGCCCAGAGCAAAGGCACCATTTCCAGTATCATCCGGCCATTGTCATATCTGTTGAAAATGGAAAGCTCAAAGCTATACTGCGTACACTGTACGAATATTACCAGATCAGATGCGAACGAAAACTACATACTTATATTGCCGCATATTATCTCAAATATACAGTAATCTTGGTAGCGGTGCTGCCATATTGTAGGCGCAAAACGTCCCAGAGGCCAGAACACATGAGTTATACGGTTTCTGGTTTCATAGCGATCAGTTAGTCAACAAACTGCCCATCAGGGTATCATGATTACCTAAGATTTTATGTCTGACAGTGTCACAGTGATGACCACGCCTCACGCATTACACACTTACATACAAATACACAGTCTGAGTCAACTGCACTAAATCAATAATACAGGACGACAGAATGATACCCTTTGCAACGGCAACGACAGGTTCCTTCCCACTTCCTTTGCTTAAAAAAGAAAGAAAACTTCTCCACATGGCACTAGTACCAAAGCCTGCATATAGAGAGAGCTCCCTCACCCGCCCCTCCCCCACCCTCCTTAAGATATGACAACAGATTTCAACAGAATCATTGCATCTTCTGCTTCTTAAAGACCTAGTTCGCTCGCATGATGGCGACTGGCGTCGCGAGGATGGAGGTCCGCGGATGATCTTTAGGAGAAATATACAGGCAGAAGGACCGTCCTGGATCCGTGCCAGTAAGCATGAGTAGGAACTTAGCAGATGCTGACGGTAATATCTGCTGTCTGCATCTGAAACGGAAAGGAAGGCATTGATTTAAGTCTAGGAGAAGGATGGCCACTGGACAGTCATTCAATTGTGGCAATGCATTTTGACTTGTGAGGAAAATGAAATCTCACTGGTTGAAGTAGGCATTCATTCTTAGCTGTATAAGAGACAAGGGTGATTCTTAACTTCATTAGTCTCAATCAAACACAAAGGTTGGGATAAAATGAGACGGATTTCGAAACACTTGGCGATCAGATGCTAAAGCTATAGTTTTGCCGTATATCATCCTTACCTATTTGCATCGTCTTTTTCGGTTAGTTTTGGTGGTCAGGAATGGTATGTTCTTTTATCATCAGCCAGCGTAGCGTTACGCCTTTATTGCGAAAGTGATGTAGGTTTTCACTGTTTTTTTTTCTCATCCTAGATTTTTTGGTCATCATCGTCACACCCAACCAAAATCCAATTTTAGAACACTGCTACTACAGGAGCCCAGCTGGTGCTGACGAGCGGCGGTTACTGGACGAACGGGTCAGCCTGGACCCCTATTGCAGGAGTCCGGCTGGTCTTGGCGAGCGGCGACGACTGGACGAGGCTGGACTCCTACTGCAGGAGTCGAGCTGGTCCTGTCGAGGAAATAGTTCACCTTTAACATGGGATTTTAAACTGAGATAGCAGTCTGATAGAGCAGATTTGTGTATGCCTTATATTTGAACCGTTTGAGATATTCACCTTTTATCAGTGAATATTGGTGCTTAAATGAATGTTCTAGTGCTCATTTACAGCAAGCAGAAACCTCTTCAACACACACAGTGGCCAATCAGCGATGAGAGCACTTACAGGAGCAGAATCCCTTGCAGCTGATAGGTTGTTCAGCTGTAAGTGTTCATAACTCTAATCATTAAAATAATGAAATCCCTTTAGAAGAAGTGTGTAATTCCAAGTTAGAATACATTTAAATTTTATTCATCACATTTTTAACACACCTTTTTAAATTTTATTTATCAAGTTACTCACAGAAGGTGAACAATTTCTTTTAACACTTACCTTGCTTCAATGGTGACATGTAGCTCTTGCAGCAGAGAAGGCACAGCATTTGGCTGCAACTTCAAATATTTACTTGTTGCTATCAATTATTCAGTTTTGAAATGCATACAGGTAGGTACAATGAATCTTGGGTTCTCCTGTAAGAATGCCGACCGCAGAAGCAGAAGTTCATCCAAAGCTTGCGCCTGAAAAAGGGCCAGGTTTAATTATCATTATACCATAATCACATTTATGCCTAATTTGTAAGAAATAGGTTTAGGTTAGCAGAAATAGGTAAGGTTTTGACTAGACCCCCTGGGCCCTGGGTCACAACAGGAGATGACCCCCGTGATTGGTGGGACCACCAGGCACCAGCACTGGCACAGTCCGTTCTGACCACCGCACACCTATCAGCCACATTTAAAATGCACTACACTACATCCCCCACCACCTGACCACACCAGACCAAATCTGCACCGCGCTACACAAAATCCGCACTGCACCAAGCTAAATCCACGCCACACCAAAGCCTCACCAGCCGGACAAGCCAGCACAGACGAGATCTTGTCGAAATTGCCATGCTTTGCAGAGTGCATACTGGCCTACCTGAACCTGACCTTACCCAGCATATGAGCCTGACTGTCCTTAGCACTGGGAGCTCATTGAGACCAGGCCCCACAAGCCTAGTGGCCTCCTGAAACCTGATTTCCATATGGGGTGAGCTATTTAAGAATGGTGATCGGATATCGAACGTGAGACAAGACAGCAATGAGCAGTGGGCGGTTCATGCAACCATAATCATGTTTCCTTACCACAAGTATCAAAGCAAAATCAAAAATAGCTACCTATCGAATTCAAATTTCACTGGAACCTCACCTGCATGGATCTTAAGTGAAAGGATCTTGATACATCTGCACGAAAGATACATCTTGATCCACTCATCTCAATCTTGTTTTTCTGCATCCAGGGCATGCAACACTTCTGGTCAAGGCCGTATATAGGACATCGCTTCTGGTATTTTTGGCACCACACTCGACTGCTGAGCTCAAATGCAAATTTGGATTGCAATCACGGTCATAAAATACTGAATATTGAATCGCAATGTATGTTCAGTCGATGTACCCCTCGTTCGATGTCTCTCAGACGACGAAGATTGTACGTCGTCCGGCCAATCCCATTCTAGATCAACGGGGGCTCGGCTGCAATTATGGAATGTGATTGGCCGAATGGCGTAGAATCTTTGTCGTCCGGAAAACATCGAACAAGAGTAATGTCGCTACTGCGCCATTGTTGCATCGAATTCGCCCCATAGAAGCACGTGTTAACTCTCTCCCATAGGGCCCTGGGTTGACTCTCTCCATAGGGTCCTGGGTAAACTCTCCCCTTGTCTATTTTCTTTAAACGGGGATAGTTTGGACAGCAAAATATTTTCGACCTCAAAAAAATAAAACTTAATTTTTGATGTACCTCATTGATGCAAAACATCAGAAAAACATTAGAAATTAAGTCAAAGAAACCGATTATTTATAAATGGACAGCTGACGGCATGCCTCCCGTGTCCCCTGGCTTGAAGCTTCGGCTCCGTGTTACCTTAGTATTCTATGACCGTGGTCCAAGCTCAGTCTGGGTTTCGGTGGTTTGGCCCGTTGTGTGCCCTCAGTCCGTTCCTCCAATTCTGGCCCAAGGCAACGCAAGAGCGCTGCCGGCATCTAGTTTTAACTAGCAACCACATGAGCACGTAAGAATATCCCTGTGATGAGTGCTCAACAAATGGCAAAGAGGAATTAAACCTTCCACGAATTGATCATCCATCATCATTAGTGTCAAGCATCATATCTTATCAAAGCTAACAGCTCCGCTGCATCACGCTCTCGGACTATACTATCAGGAAGCCGCTCCAGCAGCTGAAGCCTCTCCATTCCCAGACTTCACGCGCCGGTCGTGCTTCTCTCGCGGAGCATCGCCTCTCCTTCAACCACATCCTCTCGGCCGCGAGCTCACGCGTTATCTGGCGGTCAGCGCGACCCGGTCGGGGTGGCCGACCGACCCCGCTGCTAAGTATCGAACCACAGAGAGCCTGTGGTGTCACCCCCCGAGCTGTCGTGTGGCAGAGGCCGGAGAGACCGGCCCACCGGACCAGCTGTGGTACACGCCATCTAACGGGACGAACCACTGCTGATACAGAGTCGTCCTGAGACTGAGCGGAGAGGAGCGCACAGTTTTATCATGTTCTGGGATGACCACGACACGAAGGACCGGTTTGCCGTTGTGCAAGGCCGTTTCGCGCACGAGGACCATCTTGCTCGCGCGGGGTGCGATCGCGCTCGATTCCTGCAGCGTGTGAGCTCCACGTGTCGCGATGTGTCGCTCTGATGCCGCTCGAGATGTCGGCGCGTGTCATAAAAGTCGCGCGCCTCTGTCGCTTGATTTGAGGAATGGTCTTGTGTGGCAGGTGGTGGCCGTGTTCGTTCTGTTCAAACTCAGGGTCGGGTTCGGAGACAAGGAGTTCGCGTAATTCGGGCTGGATGGGTGTGTTCGAGAGGGCGCTTTTTGATGCTGGCGACGGTTGGCGATGGGGAGCTTGTTTTTGGTAACCAACAAGACAACAAACTTTCGTGACCTACCTGCGTCCCTCCCCATAGTCCACACCTACCCGTATGGCTCGGTTCAATCCGACCCCTATATCCGCCAGCATCCCGTCCCGCGCCGCTGGAGACCTCATCTGCGTCACAATCGCCGAGACGGCCGCTTCACAAACGCGACTGCGCCACAACTGTCCCCGGGAGACAGCCGATAAACTGCCGTCAGTTTGGCGTGAAACGCGAGCCTCATTGGCCTGTCGGTCGCCGTACCGGTCGCCATTGAGGCTGTCCGCCGGCGCCGACTTTGGTTACCCATCTGGTGTCGGGAGCACCGACCTACCGACGCGACGAGCCGGTCGGCCGCGGTTCTGAGGCGCGGTACAATGTCACCTGATTGCCGGGCGGACAGTCAGCCCTGTGCGGGCCCACCGAGGAGCCTCTGAAGCGGGACGAGTAGGTAGTTTGAAAGGCTGCCTCCACGGCCTGCCTCGGTGTCTGTGGAGCTATGTCAGTCATGGGGTTCGGTGAGCTGAGGTTTTTTAGGGAGAGTTTGGGTCGGGTCCCGTTACGGTTTTCCTCAAAGGGGAAGGTTTGATTAGATAAGAATGGAAGCGTGCTGATATAGAACCATTTGTGGCCGATTTAACCCGGGCCTGGCAGGTGGCCGCTCGTCATTTTTTTGCGTTTGAAATTCAAAAAGTGTCTTGAACTTGACCAAGGTTTCAACTTTGCCAAGCATGCTTCTTATTTCATGGTTCGACATTTTTAGGTCGTCGAATGATTCATGCATATATAAAATCATTAAATGAGAATGATCATTTATGCGCGAACTATTTGTATTTCATGAAAGCTGCATTTATTGGTGTTTTTACTGGGTCGCTATTTTTTGCTGATCCATCGCCACATTGTGTGCATTTCGCACATCAACTTCATTGCCAAGGTGTGCCCGCGAATTCCAATATCCACTATATCAAACACACCGAAATTATGTTTATTACCCCAGCTCATAACCGACAGCAGCCTTTCAGCCAGAGGTCAGAGGTCAAATGTCACGTGGCGTGAACCCTGTCCCGGAGGCATGCGGCGGCGCCTCTCGTGTTTAATGAAGGTATCACGTTTTTGCCTCCCGAAAGGAGAGCTGTGTATAAAAAGGCTGTTACTGCCAAAAATTGGCTTCTGATGAGGCAACTATTAGTGTAAACGCCGGTCACGCAGGTCTCCTTCGCACCACCAATGAGTGAGCGGGTTCATTATTTCCAAACATCTCATTTGCCTTCTGCTGCCGCCCGCACAATATAGCGAAGCCATTTAGACATCCGCTATGGTGCATAGGGTCAACAGCGCGTGTCAAATATTTAAATGATGCGAGGGGAAAGACGTCTCAAAGGCAGGGGCCACTGGCAGCAGTCTCGCGGGCAAGACGTATGGCGGCGAAGCGGGCGTTCTGTGTAATCATATGAATTATTTTGCCCGGCAGGTGGCTTGTGGACACATCTTGGCGAAACAGACGAAAACAAATGATGGCGATGATGGCATGGAGGCTGCCGTAGAGATTTATTTGTCGAGCTACTGATAGATGGGTTAATTATGATTACTTGCCAGAAGCCGTCTCATAATTCCATAAGTTACGGCTATTTATCAGGTGTTGCGTATTCACATTCCAAAATGTGTCTGACCTGTTTCATAACCTCGCACTTTGACGTAAGGGTCTGAAACGAGGGCAAAGAGAAATATAATTCCCCCAATCCTTGAGAATCCTTTCCTTCATATATCCCCATTTAGGCCCTTTCAGCAGCCGAAGCTGTAAGCCCGCTGATATCGATGACTGTTCACCTAGCTGACCCTCCAGCTCGCCTTTCTGGAGCTATGTCCGACGGAGAGCGGTCCTCTCCCGTGCCCAGTCGACTCTCCGTCGACCGGCCACCATAGATCAAATGTCGGCGCGCGGTTACTGGGTCGGTCCTCTGGGGAGACCCCCTGCCCCGCCGCCCCCTTTTGCGCCATTGTGGCCGCAGATGGAGCCGTCGCGCCACGAACGTCCCAGTCGCGGCGCGATTGTCCGCCGCGCGCAGTGATTGTTTGGGATGTGGCGAGGCCGACTTTTTCTGCGGGTCCGTGGTGTCATTTATTCTGGGGCGCCGTGTGGGGCGCCGTCGCCTGGAGAGGAGGGAGGCTGGGTGCGTATTGAGGCTCCTTGCACACTCCGGACGGAGGGGCGTGCGGTGAGGCCGTCTGTGATTGCAAAAGCATGACTTTGACATTTGAACACTAGATACTGACGGTGAATTGATCTTACATGTTTGTGAGCTTGATAAATGGCACATATGCGGTTCGGTTTCCAGAACATTCAAAGACATCTTATGCTACATGATATAGGCGTACGCACTCACGGAGTTGGATGCTAGGAGAGGCCATTAGGAGAGGTACGATAAGATCTTACTGTACGGTTTCATGTGGAAGCAGGCAGAAACAACTTTATTTTGTTGGAAATACGTTTATGCAATACTATTCCTTTGCCCGCAGAAAAATCATTTCGTGAAGCCCTCTTTCCACCATGAAAACGCGAAACCTCGCATCCAGAACTATCTGCAAGTCAGAATAGGATTTATCTTAACTATGTCTGCCGAACTGAAGCGACTTTGACTAATCTTTGTATTTTGTAATATGATATAAAACTTCTATCAATAACATCCGATTTGATAAGACTGGCATAGGAGAAAAAAGGACTTGCCTACTAAAGGCGTAGGTATGAGATTCATGTCTTAGAACTATTATGCAATGACTTGAGAGTTTTTCACTTGAATAACTTGATCTGACCGGATTTGACCTGACCTGACCTGACCTTGGTCTTGTGTTGAACATTTGGAGCCTGCCGGTTTGCGTATAGACTATAGGCGAACGAGAAATGTACTTAGTCAAAGTACCTACCTATTCTGATATGGCGATTACCGGGCTTGCGGTCGTCCTAATTACCGAGACATGCGGGCATAGCCCTTGGTGCTGTGACATACCTACTTGTGGGTAGATCCGGGCCTGTGATTTAATTAAAACAAGAGGAAACGACAGCCGGTAGCGCAGTCGAGAAAACCGCCCGCCTCATCGTGACGGAATCGGTGGCGTGGTAAACAATTAACCACGTGCGCTTTCTTCGATAATCACTGATCGACATTCAGCAGTTTAATTACGGCGCACTCGTGCCCGCTCGTGAATTTCACCTCATTTCGGAAATATCCTCTACCAATTCAGACAACGTCGGCGCAGATGTTCTAGCAGAGAAATCTGCTCGCCCGACAGCCGAGGTGTCTTGTCTTCTGTGGAGCGCCGGCCGGGTGATCCCGACGAACACTTTCTCCCCGTCTCT